TGTCAGGATTTTGATTTGTCTAGATTTTAATTTGTTAGGATTTTGAATGTCAGGATTTTGTTGTCAGTATTTTGTGTGTTGGTATTTTGTGTGTCAGGATTCTGATATAGAACCCTAGATTTCTGCATATGAACGAAAATTGCAAACACCTACAAAATTTTTCCGGCACGTAATTTTATTTTGTGGCGCAAGCCAAGAAGTTTAACGCCTTACACCAAAAATTTAGCAAGTAATTTTTTTATTTAATACGCAGAAGGCGATTTCATAGTTAAAAAAAAAAAATACAAAAAACGTGATTTTTGATCTTAAATTCTAATTGGTTAATTTTGTATAGAGATATTAAAGTAATTAATTGATTTGATTCAAATCTATATCGATATTGCCAATATGGGGTGAACTTTACAAAAATAAAAAAAAAATTTATTTATTCAAATTGGATTACTGGATGACTAGAAAAATTAAATTTTGTCAGTAAATTTTATATAGTCTCGAATAGGGATGGGCCATACCGGTTATTAGAAAATAAAAATTACTGTTTAGTAGTGAAGTCCCGAAGCGTGATTTTACTACTTAGCAAAGACCCCATACTGCCGTTAAAATGATGCTGGGACAAAAAAAAATGAACTTTCCAGACGAGTTGCAGTTATGAGGTGGATAAGATCGATCGATCGTTACAACGTACATCCGTACTACCTATACATGACGTCGAGAATTAAGTAAAAAAATAAAGAATGGCTTTATACGTAGAAACTAATTGCTTAGTACAGTAGTATAGATAAGCATGATTATCAGCGACCAATGAAATTTTTAAGGATCGACAACCAATTAGATGGATTTATAATAATATTCGTGAATGTATGATACTGTATAAACGCGACACCAATGCTAATGAGCAATTCATTTTTTTAGTAATTCATTTTCTTAAGAGAAAAAAAAATGTCAGCAAATGATAAGTACTGGTTGAAACATTATTTTGGGGTATGCATTTCTAAATCGCTTTTCACCGATGTTAAACGCGCGTACTTATTATACAAATTTTTTACATGGGAAATTTTATACTGTGAAAGAAAGGAATCGACGAAAGTAGCATATTATGGAGTGAGCTTTAACCCTTATGATTCATACGATGAAACTGTCTTTGCCACTGTAGGAGGAAGAAGCGTAAGTATCAGGATCATTCAAGACAAACTCGTTTTGAATGTGCTAAAAGAACATCTTGCACAAACTTTCTAGGTTATAATTGCTCAATTTGACGATACCAAGCCTTTAGCGCTCGAGGTGTTACAAACATATGTGGATGAAAACGTAAAAATGTTCAATTTCTATTGTCATTTATTAAATTTTATATTCAAAAATCAAACATGATATGGTTTTTATAGACGGAAGAAAATTTTTATTGTTGCGCATGGTCCTTTGATCCAAACACTGGAGCGCCTTGGCTTGCTGTTACTGGAGCACAGGGTATTATTAAAATCATAGATTCTAGTACCGGCACTGTCGTACGGGTATGATTTCATAATATAATTAAGAATACTCGCAAATTATCACATTTAACTGATCCTATTCTATAATTTTATTCTACAGTCCTTAGTAGGGCATGGTGATGCAAGTTCGCGATAATTAATATTATTCCATGATTCGTTACATTTTACATAATTCATTAACCAAAATTAACTAATTTTTATATATTTTATTTAATATAGGAGATAAATGAGATTAAATTTCACCCAAGAAAACCTTCGTTATTATTCTCGGCGAGTAAAGACTTTTCTGTACGATTATGGAATGTAATGACTTGTATGCCTATTGTTGTTTTTGGTGGTGAATGTGGCCATCGTGAACCTGTCTTGAGCATTGTAACAACTTTTATTATTATTAATTACATTTAATAAGATTGTGTAATATAACATTATTAATCATAAAAATTTTTTTTTAGGATGTACATTTATCTGGAGATTTCCTGGCTTCTTCTGGAATGGATCATGCTGTTAAAATATGGTCTCTATGTACACCGGTAGTCAAAAATACCATTGAATCATCGTTAAAACCTACTCCACCTTCCCGTCCTCATCAGTCATCATCTAGACAACAAACATGTTGTAGATCACATGGAAAGCCATCAACTCCTGTATTTGTACATTTTCCTATTTTTTCAACAGCCCAATTACACAATAACTATGTTGATTGTGTAAGATGGTACGGTGACTTGTTATTTTCAAGATGTGCGGCAAACGCGATTATCGTTTTATGGAAGCCCAATGTCGATTTGATAGCGAATGATAATTCTAATGTGACAACTACCATTGTTGGCGGTCCTGCTAAAGTATGTACATTTTATTCATATGATTAATTTCTTATATTAATTTATATTAATATAAATGTTTCTTATTTCGCACTAATACATTACTAAATAATATATTTTCTATGTAAAATTTTAGCAATCATCAAGTTATGATATAATTTGTGAATTTGAATTTGATCATTGTGACATTTGGTTTCTCAGATTTGGTATTTCTCCTGATTATCAACAACTCGCAACAGGAAATCAAACTGGGCAAATATTTTTATGGGATTTACAAGATATTCCATTACTTATTGATAAATATATAGATAAAAAAAAATCAAAAAATATAGGAACTAATAAAAAGGAAAAAGTTGCTGTGAAAAAGAAAGGTGGAAATGGGTCAAATGGTGGAAACAATAAAAAATCTTCGACGAATGCAAACTCTCATGTTTCTGATTCTAACGGTGGTGCTTCTAGTTCAAATAATGATGCTAGTGATAATTCGAAGCATGAAAAAATCGAAAAGAAAGAATGTAAACCATCGATATTGGGAATAGAACCATGTGATAGTACAATAAGACAAATTGCATTTTCAAAGGATAGAAATTGGATGGTTGCAGTATGCGATGATACGACTATTTGGTGTTGGAAAATGAATAGAGATGCTCAACAAGCTGGATGTAGTAGATACGATCCAATGATTATAGATAACTAAATGTTTTTATTTCTAATGTCTCTTTTGGTTTATGTTGAGTATGATCGTATGATTCGGAAAATAATTGAATAAATAAATCTCATTTTTTTTTTAAACATAAACAATTTGTAATCTTAATGAAACACTCCAATTTATGTTTTATTATAAATAATTAACTAGCTCAATATTAAAAAAGCTGTATCGATAAATTTTACCAAGTAGGTACTTTTGGCAATGATTGTTCATGCTCGTATTCAACTTCAACAAATCTACCACCTATTAAATTTTAGTGGATTGATTAATTATGTAGCATAACATTGATATTAGTAACAATTAAATGACTTAAATAGAAAATGTGAATGAGATAAACTTTACGTTTTTTCTTTTTTGGTCGTAATTCTTTGGTTTCGGTACTTTTTCTTTTACCCTTTTTTTCAAAAAAAAAATCAGTATTAGGACATAATAATATTTTGAAAAGCTCAGAGTCGAAGCTAGTGAATAAAAACAATTAGTTAATATACCTTGGAAGTTTCGGCTTCTTCATTTTCATCGTCACTAACTTCTTCCAACGTATCAAGTAAATCACTATAATCGCTTGATTCACTTTCCTAATATCATTATGTCATATAAATATATTAATTAGAATTGAACGTGACAATCAAATATCAAATATTAACGAATTTTGAATTGATCTACCTCTTGATTATATTCATCATAGTCTTTAAGTATATCTTCCAAGTCTTCTATTTCATCTTCGCTATTGTCTTCGACGTATTCATTCTAATACAGCAATATCACGTAAGTAGTAAGTTGACATAAAGATATGCCTCATTAATATCAATATTTTTCATAGACAAATTTTTTCTTCATAAATAAATTCTCTCTTCATTATTAGCTATCGCATACATTACTAAATGGCCAGGTTGAATATTGGAGGACGACTATAAAATAATTAAATACCATACCTCTAAATCTTCAACATCACTTTCTTCAGTCATATCAT